TCATCGTCGGCGAAACGGGACGGAACGCGCTCAGAGAAACGAAACAAAAAATAAGAAAATCACAAATGTATTTTGCAGTTTTTATGCGATTGACCTCTTTTATCGTGTCAAAGGATATAACGGGTCTTGAACTTTCGACTATGGAAACAAAAAAAAACACTTCCTTGAATGGTTTTTATTAAGATTTGAAATGTAAGCACTATTATAGGTATATACAATATAATAATGCTGCAAGGTATACCCTATACGACTATACCTGTAGTACACCTATACTATTACCGCGACGACAGTTCCATAATATTGTGCACCTATAATCTATTTGATATTATACCATTACGATATTATTTTGATAAAGATTATTAATTAACGCGCTTGAGCATATAATATGTTATTTTTAAGTATATATAAACATCAGAACGTATAACCAGTACTTGAATGGAGGGGTGACGCGGAGGGAAATGTATTTAATAATTAAATGAGGACATCCCTCATTTAGTTTTTTTTTCCAATTCGTCTGACCTACCTACATAATATTATAAGTAATATTGTGTGAAGTGGGTTGTGGGTACCTATTTAGTGTTCGAAAGAACCGTTTTCGATTGGTGCGTCGTGCGTGAATCAATTGTTTATGCGTGTTCTGTTTCCATATAGCAGCTGGTGTATATACCTAATAATATAACAGACGATGCATCATTGATGCATGTGCTCAGAACATTATTGTTTCGAAATTGTCGTCAGAATGATATTGTCTGCTCTGCAGTTATAATCGTCGACTTTGGCGAAAATCCCTATCGTGAACAACGTTTCATAATAATAATATTATACTGCTGTGCACGACGTCGGGGGGCGCATGCGTGCAAAATATATATCGTGTATAGGTACCTATTTAACACAATATACTAAATTACAGCAACGTAATGCGTATAAAATTATATCGTATGCACGTGGATTCTCCACCCACGGGCTCCCGGCTGGTGAATATTGCAGTGGCGTACATCGCTCGCGGTGCGGCCATCGCTGCCTCCGAGAAAGCTGCCGCCGCGGTACGCCATGATGATTTTCGACGACTGCCGCCTCCACGCGGTTCGGCGTTTTACGCAGGTTTTATTACAAACGTACCTGCTGCAGAAGACTTTGCGATAGTAGGTATTATTGTCGACACAATCGATATTTAACGAATATTGCCGTAAAATACTATGTGACGTAGGTATATAAAATACGCTAGCGTTATGTAGATCGTAAAAAATATCGATTAAATCATATACGATTACTTGTTTATGTATTCACGGCGTTAGCATAATAATAAGGCAGATATTGCGTATATAGGTAAGGTAATGCTTAACTTTTGGCATGGGGGCGGCACAGTAAGACTGAGTTAAAAGTATAGAGAAGACTGTTAAATTAGTGGCACAACCAGCAGTTTTCAAGGCAGGGGGATAATTATGTTCAATGTCCATGATGCATAATACATATAGTAAATTATTCGCGTTTTGATATTATGTGGAACGTTAGGAAACGTTCTTCTTATTATAATAATATAGTTGTTATGTTATTAATTGTCTTGTCATAATACGAAACTATCATAAAATCGTTATTATATAGTTGATAATTAATTATTCTATTATAATATATTCAAGCTAAAAATGTATGTTTAATAAATTATTTCATGCGAATCAAGTGAGGAGGGGGGGGGGCTCTGTGATGCCACCGAGTTAAGTGTTAAGTACTTAGGTAAGTCGTTAAAATCACCCATTTTGTTAGTTCTGCATTATTTTGAATATATTATTATAAATTTTTTGCTGGGAAGTGATAACAGTTATTGGGGTACCTAACTAGTGGGAGGGTGAACGTCATTAGCTATAAACTAATATAATACGCCTAAAATGTCTTATGTTATTATATTATGTCATAATAGAGTATCCCTCTGATAATTATTGTTTTTCCAAGTCGAGCATACCGCCGTCAAACGCGTATTATTAATATATTTTATTATAATATTATTTTATGTGGGAACCGCGAGCGTATATTTGTGTGACGTGTGTATATTAATGTACGAGCGGGAGTCGTGTTCGGTGAGAGACTCAGACATTATATTAAACACAACAACACGATCGATACACCGCGCGCTGGTTGAAATTAACACGAAATATCCGTAACGACAAACAGGTGGATACCATTTATATATATATATTACAGAGAGAACGCGACACGGACGACGGCCGTGTATATAATAATATAGAGGTATACACATACGATAATATATTATTGTATATTATAGTTTCGACATTATATTTTCTTTATATTTTTTTCTCTCTCTCGCTCGCTCCCTCCCGTGCGCACCGCGACGTGGACCAACAATGGAACAATAGTTGTATAGGTACCTGTATATTATAGTGTGTAGTGGTGACCGTATATATACATATATATTATATACGTTGGCTACCGCGGTCACACACATAATATAATATTTTATATATATATACAATAATAATAATAGTCCGCCGATAGTGCGAGGACGGCCCCGAAGGAGACGCGGGAAAAATGACCCGCGGGGAATGCGTGTGTGTACGCTCGCGATGGTCTATTTCTCTCTCTTTCTTTTTCTCTCTCCTCTGTACACGCATATTATACATACACATGTTCTACTACTGTATTATTATTATGTATACCGTGCCTACCGCGTCTTATATACCCGTACGTATTATGTACAGGTACTTGCCGCAGACTGTAACGAAATTTCTGGCGCCTATTTAACTCACCGTGTACCACCGAGTACATTGTGCGTGTGTGTCGCCTGCGTGTGTGTGTGGCGTGTAACGTGAAAGGAAGAAAATTCCAATATTTCAACTCACAATGCCATTACGTGCGCTTTGGTGTAAAAATTGTTTTTGTTTTTTTTTTTTTTTTTCATAAACAACGCTTGTATAATGACGTATATATATACATATATTTGGTCGTATTTTTTTTGTATATTTTTTTTAAGGGTGATGTCATGATATAGACGCACGAAAGCCACCGTTGAAAGTTTAACGTACAGCTCGCTTGTTTTGACGCAAGGTTTCGTGTTTTTCTTTTTCACGTCGGCACTTCTTCCTGTACTCCAAGGGGTTAAAATGTACGTATAGGCACGCCGGTAGTTTCAAATATTTATAAGTCACCTATATACGGCTGTACACCACGCATACATTATAACAATATAAGTAGGTATTGCAGGTGTATGTGATACCTATAAATTATAATGTAGGTATAGGTTTAAACTTTTGTGCACATCATTTTATCTACTATTATACCTATTTTATAACCGGTTATATTTTTTTAAACCCGCGATATTTCGTTACTTCATTATTATTCTATTACTGGTCGACGGTAATTATTGTTTTTACTTTTACTTTTTTCATTTTCACTACCTATATATATTATAACGGCCGGGGCTAGGATCGCGTCCAGGAACATCCATCATTATTATTTCAACTTGTTATATACCGGATATACCTATGTACTATACACAGTTTTTTTTTTTGCACGTGGAAATCCTCGTATGGACCAACCGTCAAATTTCCTTTGGACTTTCTTTTAATCTCGACCATCTTCTATATAAGCACAGACACGTTCATGTCTGGGTCGGAAAAACGATTCCTGCACGTCTTACCGGACTATATAATATTAATGTATTATGTTGTACACGAGTGCAAGTACGCCTATTATAATACCTACATAATATACTGATAGTGTATTGCTGCGATTTAACCGGTTTACGCGTATGTGTGTATATTATGTACCTATAGAGTAGGTATATAAGTACAACGCGCTAAACTATTAATTTCATTTGTATCATTAGCGCCTCAGCGGACCTTGACACTCAACTCATACAACCGGTTTACAGTTAGTACAGTCATACGCATGAGAATATAATATTATTATGTAGTATTTAAATCCAATTACTCGCGACTTTTGCGGTTAAACTCATATTTTTTTCTCCCAGGTACCTAGTATACATCTATGGAAATAATTTATGTAGGTACCACTATACGCGTACGTTGACGTTCATAATATTTATACGGCCGTTGGTTTATGCCTTATAATTGTTGTGTGTACACACGTATAATAATAATAATATGTAAACCGAAATACGCGGTCGAATAAGTTTTTAATTTTCTGACGTGTACAATGCGCACACGTGCAATAAACATTGGCCAAACGAGCTTTGTCGCGTGGAGACCAACAGTATATTCCGATATAATATATCATACGCGACCGTGTTTTAAGAACCTCACGTACACCCGCGCTGCAGTAGGTTTCCCCTCAAACAGAGGGGTTTTGTATATTATGAAATATTGAAATGCTGCACGCGAACGCGCTCGGTGCGGTGTGGTATAGAGTTGCGGCGCGTACACACATATATATAGGATATACACTACGTTTTCGGACGGATGTTGCAGGCTAGAGGGGGTGGCAGCCGGAACTTCATTTCCATAGTTGGGAAACTCGATTTGAAACTCATCAACGGAAATCTAGTTATGCGTGCAAAACGGGTCATGGCGAAGGGTTGTCGTGCGTGCCGGGGGTGTATATATAGTGTATATGTTTCAATGTTTCTGTGTGTTGGTGTGTGTCTATATATATATACAGCTGTACGACGGGAGTTTTGCACGTCGAGTAACCGGTAACCACGTTATGTCCCCAGTTTTCAGACAGGAAACAAACTTTGGAAGTAGAAATGACGGGGAGGGGTTTCGGTGGCGTGGAAGAGAATTGGAAAAATGTGTATCGAAATAGGCCTTAATCGATTTATATACGTTTTTGTTCCTATTTATTTCTATTTTTATTACCTAACTTATCTGAGAGATTTGCTTTAAATGCTTTTTTTCTTTTCTTTAGTATTTATATTTATCGGTAATTTTGTCGTTGTATTTTCCAACTATAATACTATACCTAAGCGCAAAATATAAATACGATTTAAAAAGTACGTTACAGTTAAATAACAAAATATAATAACTCACCTTGCCCATTCTTTCCGGATATGTAATCGTCCTTGCATATGAATTTGTTGTCTTCGAGCACGTAGAGTTCCTCGCCGGTAGACAGCTGTTTCCGACATATCATGCACGTGAAACAGTTTAGGTGAAAAACTTTGTCCCGGGCTTTCCGCACCAGGTCAGTGGGTGAGATGCCCTGGGCGCAACCATTGCACTTTTTGCCATACCGTCTGTGGATACAAAAAAAAAATTCAATAAATTATACATCAACTTCGTCTCGCCTCCGTTGCGAAAAAATACCCTATACCATATGTACCAACGTAATATATCGGTTATCGATAGTAAGTACATATATATTATTATAAAATGTGTATGCATGCGTGCATGTGTTAGTGTGCGAGTCGTATTATACCTACAATACCTATATATATATACACCTATGTGCGTATATAAGGGGTGGTGCTCCAAAACGATTCATCATCTACTCCGCCGCCGACGCAACGAGTCGCGGTCAGGTTCAAAAGGAGAAAATAGTGCGAGAGTTTACGCGGGTGAAGGGGGATGGGGGTCAGATAGAAACGTACTGCAGAGAGAGAGAGAGAGAGAGAGAGAGAGGGAGAGAAAGATTGAAAGAGAGCAAGACAGGAGAGAAACAATAACGTAAAAAATGCGTTCTTCTCTCTGCAGCGTTCGTGAAACGGCAGGGCGTCCAGGCCCGCGCGCACACACGCACAGACACACACTCGGGTCGTGCCGAAAAGCCTCGCGCGAGGACACGCGGGGGTCACGGGTCATACGTTTAATATTTCGGACGAGGACGTGTTTACGACGCGTCTAAAAATCGTATATATATTATAATATGTATGTATAAATATAATGTGTTTAAGAAAAAAAAAAAACTTTATGTATACATATTTTTTCCACCGTTTTGTTTCGTTTTTTATAATCTTCCGAAACTTTTTCAAAGGGTTATTTTATATTTTTTTTCCCGTTCCGAGAACGGTCGCCGCCGCCGACAATCGGGGTAATAAAAAAAAAACAAAAAAACAAAATAATACATACTTAAATTATTGTATATAGTATTATGTAGGTAGGTCGCGTACTATAATATTATTATACATATATTATAGGTGTACCTCTCGACTATATATGTCTCGCGTGCGGTGGAATCGGTTGACCGACCGAAAAACTATAAAAACGCGTTTTTCGCCGCCGCCACGTGCATGATACCGGGTATAATGTTAGGTTTTTTTTAGCGACTACCGCTGCTGCACCGATTCCGCCGTCGTGGTGTTATTACGTTATTATTTCAGACGAACAATGTAGCAGTAGCACCCGTGCGGACGTTTGGTGAGCACCAGTTATTTAGAAACTTGTGAGGATGACTAAATACGCGATGTCACCATCGCCACACTATGTATATATGCAGGTATAAGTTATCTACGACAATAGGAGTATACCGTGTATATATATATATATATATATATATTATTATATTTAACGGAAGAAAAATATTTCTGACTGCATTTTACGCGAAAGACTAAAATAATATTATATTATATACTGCTTATTACTGTCATCCTACAAACAATCCGTCATATGTTTTTTTATGACGAAAAAAGACAAATATATGTATTTACTACAGTGTCCCCACTGAATACAGAGGACCGTTATAACACACGATAATCACACGAACCATAATATATAGGTACATACACGCAATTATAAATTGTTGATTTTGTATTCGTGAAAACGATAATATAATATTGTCTATACACACATTTTTTCGAGCAAGATTTTGAATATTGTTTTATAAATTCCCGTCGAACGAATAACCTTTCACGTAACTATTTAAGTATATAATCCATAATAATAACAGGTAGCACGCAACATAAAACATTTTCAGGAAACATTATACCTGTAATAATATATACGTTGGACATATTATTAAAATATAATAAATAGCACCCGTGACCATATATTTATATGTTATTAAACTTTGTTGACGGAGACAAACATATCGCGTGATTTATTTTTCAGAAGACAACAAATCCGTATAAATTGACCGCGGGTTTCCTGTTATAAATACATATTACACATGTATAGAACAATAAATGATTAACCATCCATTTCAAGACTCCCAGCAGTGTTAATGTGTTATTTTGCAGTCGCCGCTGCAGTGTTGCAGTTTTGTAATAAGGTAAACCAAACGCTATTTTTATTATAATAATAAAATATGTATAATATACTATAATATGACGGACGGGTGTAAATGGGTACCGACATTAAAATAATGTATAATATTATAGTTGCAGCAGGTATGGTGCAGCTGAAACAACGTGACTATTATAATACGTCTATACACCGTCCGTTGACTATACGTATTCAAACGGAGCGTTACTGATTTTAATTAATTTTAAATTACTCGAGCACGAGCGTGAATTCAACTTTTATAAGTATGTATAATAAAAGAAGCGAAAAAAAGGTCGAAAGAAAACTAAACGGACGATTTACAAGCGCAGACATACATTATCATAATAATATAATTTATCTTATATACCCGCCTACGTATACATACAGAAGATAGGTATATATTTATGTATAAAAATAGGACTTCGCGCAATGTTATATAGCTGAAGCACATAACATTATACAATATTGAATGTATATTATAATGCACATGTCTATATCGCTCGCATTGAACTATGGCCGTATGGGTGCCTATAAATGTATATGAGTGACTGCGTATTGTATATTATACGATATAATATTATCGAGGCGAGTGTATCGCGCGAGATGTAATAACAATAATTTACAACGACCGAAAAAAATGCAGTAAATTTCGTCCAAAGATTCGTGCTTTGGACGCTCGTATCGATATCTTCGAGTTTACGATACGTACAATAATTTTATTATCATATACCTACCTATACAATATACGTGTTATAATATAATGGACCTAGCGCGGTTTACATATTAGTATATTTTATTTACACCGAAGAATTCGTGTCGCATACATAATAATATTATATATAGACACGTATATAAGATATAATAATAATAATCATATAATATCCTGCAGCACACACATACGGTGATGCGAGTTACATTTATTATGGACAAGCTTTTTACCTATAAATAAAATATTATATAGGTATAATATACACACGTATATAAATGGGTTTGAGTGTGTATAGGTATGCACCAATACGCCGACAACGAACCACTTCTTAAATCACGTCGGGAAGAATATAAGACAAACGAATGGGGGGGGGGGGGAAAGGCGTAAGTCACATATTCAATATCGTACGGACAATGCGATAATATTAATAACAATTAATCAAAGCCCACTGCACACACGCTCGGGTGCTCGTATAATGACATCACGTGAAACTGGTATTTACTCGGTAATTTCGTGTAAATTATCGGGCGTCCCGCGGGGTGTGTTTTTTTTTCGGTCCTTTCACACACTATCCGTCGTCGTCGTCTTAGTGTGTATGTATACTATATTACATTATTGTATATCATACGCTATATGTATATTATGCAGTTACGATATTTTTTATGTATAATGTTATTATGTTCCGTAATTTTTCTCCTTCGCGGGTAATATCTTTACCGCGCTGCACGAGGCGTGCCCATCGTCGTCGTACATGCGGTATGACAGATATTTTTTTATACACTATACGTGTCATACACACACTATACAGATAGAAACTCCGTCGCGTATACGAATATAAATCGCACTCCACGATTTTTCTCACGAAAATGTAGGCAGAGGTACCTATGTATAGGTAGGTACTAGTTATGGAAAATACAGTTCTTTTTTCACACCGTTTGTCTTTGACACGAGTCTATATGTAAAGTAACAGCTACATATTATGTACCTACCTATATACCATAATATATTTGATAAATGTATGTATGTATATATATATATATATATATGTGTGTGTATGTATATAATATATGTGTACGTGAATTTAGATTAATTATATAATAATAATATTAATGGCTCTGTGGCAGTTTTCTATAGCTCTGACTTAAATTATTAGTGCTGAATGCGATTTGCGTGTGAGCGATCGAGCGATAAATCCCAGGCGATTTTGGTGCGGTCGTCCATGCGGTTTTATATCGTTCGTTCGCTGGTGATTGGTTTCAATCTCCCAGAAAACATTCTGAAACGCGTGCTCGAATCATATTTTTAGCTTATCTTTAGATTCTGATTTTGGGGAAATTAATCATTCAATAAACACTTTTACATAAGTTCCGAAAAAACTTCAGAGTAAGTTTCTTTTTTTAAGTATATTTTTTCGGACTAAGAGTATTTTGAACTTTATCCTTGACAAGATCCACGAGACGTAAATCTTAAATATAGAACGTAAGAGTGTAAGACGTTCATTTAAGGGATCTAAACAATAACTGTTGTTTACGTAATTACACCAAGTAGAAAATGTATGGGCGATGGTCTTGAAAATAGTGCAAAAAATTTATTGTAAAGTGAAATGTTTAAAAGACATAAATTCGTTAATTTACTAAAGTAATTGAACAATTTAATATATAAATATAATTACATAGTTGATTAAAAAAGCATTATATATTAATATTATATTATGTTGATTGAAATTACCAAAAACAATGGATTATTGCAATTACTGTTTACATTAAACTATCCTCGTTTTTATCACACATTCACACTGTTTGATAATAATATAATATCTAAGAGCACCTTAAAAAACTACTACTCCGATAGTTCATTAGATAGAACCCACTTGATACGAACCTTTCGTATAAGGGTAAACCAACCATTATGATTTCTGTTATGCGTCGGCGGCTATGTTATTATTACAGTATATTATAATATATTCAAATGTACTTATGTACCTATATTATAATGGCTAGTATTGCGTTCATTTGCGCCGGCGGCGAAGGCCCAAAACATAAATTCACACAGAAACGAATTACCGCGGCACGCGCGTCACTGCTGTCGTTATTTCCCCCCTTGTCACTCGGCTAGATATTTATCGTTTCCCCACTCGAAAATATTTCAACGAAAACCAAAAAAGAAATACATTCTAGGTATAGTATTATAAATAAATGAAATCATGTCGTAGTCGTCATCGTCGTGTTCGCATACAATAAGCTTCGCGGGTATGACACTGTACTATACTATACACATATTTAGGTATATATTCGCAGGTAGGTGGTTCGTACCCCTTCATCACAAAGC